CCCCCCCCCCCCCCCCTCTCAATGTCAACGGTGACTCACAGTAGTACAATGTGATTTATGGCCCGTCCAATCACGGCACATCTTTATTGTCATGGTCATTGTCAGCCTGCACCAACATCCGAAAAAAATACACAAGGACTATGTACCGACACGACGAATCGATCCTTGATCGCGGTTTCGTGATGTTGGAGTGAGGGCACTAAAATATGTATGTTTTAGTGGTGGGACGGTCTAAAGGAGACTGAAGAACAGTTTGTAGTATGGATAGATCCAACGCATCTGTATCGATGTGTCCAATGTCCATACGCCTCTTTTTTTTGGGGGGGGGGGCGGTCGTGGGTGTTGTTGTTGAAGTGCTTGGGGATCAGAGAATGAAGAACAGAGAGGGAGATACGGCTCTAAGGTTCTGGTGAAGGAGAAGGAGAAGGAGAAGGAGCTGAAGGGCCGGCCAATTGCCGCCCGTCTCTTCCATCCTCCGCCATCCGGCGGGTCTCCCCTCCGAAGCCTCACCAAGATAATTAATTACTTTAAACATATGGACGATATCGGAGGAGCAAGATGAGCAGATTGTACAACACTGCACATTATCATTAGCTGGGCATCGACGAAGTCAATCCTCGTTGGCCGTCTTTTTTATATTGCTGTGTTGTTGTACATCCATCCATCCATCTCTGAGCTCAGAGTCTTTCATTCATTGTCGCTTTACAGTTGAGCCTGTCCTGGCCATCAGCTTGCTCCATCCAAGCATCCAATCATGCAGTGTGCGGAGTAATTTGGTCTGCTCTGTTTTCTGGTTTCCAATAAGCTTTCTTCTTCCTTCTTCATGATCAGGGATGTCTTGTTTCTTTCAGCACCAGATGGCAGATGATGATGATGATCCAGATGAGAATGAGATGTGGAGTCCGGATCGGTTGCGATCCGGCGATCTCCGCCCAGATCTGATCCTGCTGTCGAGTCGAGAAGTGATCTTCCAGAACGCTCTAGTCATTCTCGAAATTCGCTTCTCGGTCTCCTCCTCCCAGACCAAGAGGGGCCATTGTATCTCAGACAGGCGGCCCTCTGCTCATCTCATCCATCTGGCTCGCCACATGCTTCCATCCCCGTCAGAGTATGTATTCTTCTGGAAGCCAGTCCTTCTTCTTCAATCAACGGATCCAAAGTTCGGAAACATACATACATAAATAACACCACTTCGCACAGTGACAGAACGAACAGACTGTCAAAAAAGAAAAGAAAAAAAAAGAAACGCTCCTTTTGAGAGAGACAGAGAGACAGAGAAATAGACAAGCTCCAGACGAGGACCAAGTGCGCTCCTCGTGTTCACTTCTATTCAGAGAAACTTGCTCCGTCTTCTCGGTTCCGACTACACATTAAGATGGGCATGATTTCGTTGGCTTGATCATGATCGTTCCCCAATGTGTGAATCCTGGAGCACTTTCTTGGCAGCAGCAGCAGCCCTCGAGGCCCATATTCAATGATTCATCATCATCACTATTGGAGAGAGCTGAGTTGAGCTGAAGAAGAGAACCTTGTTTGAGTGGTATATATATGGATACATAATGTAAACCATCCTCCGATCTGGATACCCATCTGGCCTCGCTCTTCTCAGACTTCCGCTTGTTGTTGTAACTTGCCAAGCACAATTGTCTGGCAAAACAAACACACATCTCATCTATTTATTGATTGATTGATTTATTGATGATTTTCTTGTGTATTTATCTATCTATCTTATCGTTCCTCCTTCTCTCATTTTTTTTTTTTTTTTTTTTTTTTGGTCACAGATCATTGTAATAATTGGAGCAAACAATTCACAGTCGAGGAAGTTCGTATGTATCAATAATAAGTGAGAACTTGAGATGAGCTTGCAAGGATGATGAAGCTGTCGATCTCAACAGAGAGAGGATATCTATCTATCGTTTTGTTGTTGTTGTTGTTGTTGTTGTTCAAATTGTGAATAAGCCACTTCGGCTGAGACTGAAGTGGAGTTGCAGGTATGTAGGATGAAATGAAATAGTTCGGGTGGATGTTGTTGGTTCTCTCTTGAACTTGAACTTACAACAAACATCTTGCCCTTGGTGATCATCGAAATCTTGAGAAGCTTTTTGCAGTTGGTGTGCCTTTTTACCAGGGTTCTTGATACAGCTGTCATCATTGGTGTTGGCCGTCAGCCTCTTCTTTGGACCCTTGTTCTTCTTCTTCTTCTTCTCCTTCCCCCTTCATGACCTCCTCCTTCTTCATGACTCATGAGCTCTTAATTACTTCCTGACTGGATTTTAGTATGTATCTGCTGGAGGATTATAACCGACGATAAGCACTTGTGTCGACCACTTCCAATCCAATTTGTTATTAGGACATCCCTTCTGACTCTCTCTCTCTCTTCTTTGAGCAGTTTCCTCTGAGAGGCCAATGAGCTGGGATCTTCAAGCATTTACACTTCCACCTCTCAATCTTCATTCACTCACTCTCCGGATTCCATCAGCAACCAGCCAACAACCCAAGAAGTCCAGTTTGAGTTGTCTGCTGTCTACCCACAAACTTATTACTCTCCGATCCATCTCTCAAACCCGACAACATGTTCCCCAATATCCTCCAAAGCCCAACAACAACAACAACACCCTCCTCCTCCCCCACTATCTGTAATCAAGAACCCCCACTACTTGAGCAGTCCTCTCCACCCCACTGTCCTCGTTCACATAATAATAATACCGTCAGTTGCAACTTATAAACAATACAACATTCTTTCTCTCTGGGATTCGATTTGATTCCCCATCTTACAACTAAAATCGCTGTCACTGTCTTTCTTTCATTCCTGATCGATTGATCGATTGA